TGGGTGCAAACAAATATTGATTTGCAGAGTTGTTCACTGAAGCTTTTTTTTTTTAATAGTGAAGGATTAGGAAAATTCCTTTATTTCCAACAATAAGGAATTAATTTTTAAATAAGATATTATATAGGCAGAAAAATTGTATTTTTGTAATGTTTGGGTAGATATCACTTTAGAAAAATAATTTTAGACGTATGCATACTAATACATGTCTTTTCACTGTGTTTCCTTTGGCTTTCTCTTAATGGGATTTTGGTGTTTCCATCATTTTTCTCTCTGCTTATTTATTTTTCAAGAATTTTCATGATGACTAAATACTCATAAATAATACTGAGTGAAAACAGTACTAAACTATGCTAAAATGTATTTGTGCATGCACTTGCCTTGGAGAAGAAAAGTATGTGACCAAAAGTATGCTAAAATGTAATAATGATTATCTCTTCATTTTAAGTTGCTGGATAATTTTACTTTGATTATTCTCCTTAATACTTTTAAGCTTGCTTATTGCATAGGCAATTTTAATAGTATAAAGAGGAAAACAGAAGCCTAGTTTGATGTCATGTAGACAAAAAGAGTCAAACTTTAAGTCTTTTAATATAAGGGGTTGTGGAGACCAAGGTTTTGTCATGAAGATGAAGGCTCCAGGTGGCAGGCTTCAGAGAGAGTAGATTGTAAATGCTTCTTATCAGCCTTAAACAGTCGTTTCTGTCAGTCTTAAGGGCTTTGTATTGATGTTAATGCTGGTCAGCTGTGCCTGAATTCCAACAGAAAGGAGAGTATAACGAGGCATATCTGACCCTCACTTCCCATCATGGCCTGAACTAGTTTTTCAGGTTAACTTTTGAGTGCCTGAGGGGAGGGTCCAACAGTTAGAATTTTATTTTTGGTTTACTTCTGTTAAGTCAGTCTTTGCTAGTAGTGTCATGAAATCAGCTTGTGCTGAATTTTGGGTTTGTTCGTTTGTTTATTTTTGAGACAGGGTCTCACTCTGTCTCCCAGGCTGGAGTGCAGTGGCACAATCACGGCTCACTACAGCCTCAACCTCCCCAGGCTCAGGTGATTCTCCCATGTCAGCTCCCACGTAACCGGGACTACAGGCATGCACCACCGTGCCTGACTAATTTTTGTATTTTTTGTAGAGACGGGGTTTCACCACATTGCCCAGGCTGGTTTCAAAGTCCTGAGCTCAAGCAATCCACCTGCCTTGGCCTCCCAAAGTGCTGGGATTACAGGCATAAACGGCCTGTGTTTAATTTTTAATTCTACTCTGTAAGAATAAATTTTATCTTAACAAAGATAGCTAACATGATTATTTACTATGTGAGGTACTCTACTTTTAAATCTTCAATCAGGTGAACTAATTCTGCAGCCCATGCTGTTCACTATACTGCTTTTCAGTTTCATACACATTGTTAATGCCTATCCTTAAATTCATGTTCCTTTTCATTATACCTTACTGTTTCCAACTTAAGAACTATATAAATAATCAGGTAAATATACTTTCCAGTGATTGCATATTTTTGGATAACATTAGTGATGTTTAGCAGAGTCCTCTTGAATATTAAAATATTTATATATTAATTTTGTCATTTAAATGTTAAGTTTAAGCACGTAGAAAAATACCTAGAAAATACATACATTCTATAAAAGTGAATTACAATAGGGAAAGACTGACTATTGGAATGGCAGTGTAAGGACCACACAAACTTGCTCTCCCAGAGCCCCCAAAAAGAGCAACAACAAAAATATTGGCCAACCATATAGTATCCACCATTTCAGAACTCTGGAAATTAACGAAAGCCACACAATGGACTGAATATTGTCTATTCCAAGGAAAACTACTGATCCTTGATAAGACACTGAATCTATGGCATTTTTAACTTGGAGCTATTCCCATCCTGCCTCCCTTCTCAACTGAGTAGTGCAGTAGCCATGGAAAGCCAGCGGCTTCACAGCCAATGGATATGACTGACCTCCTTGGAGCTGCATGAAAATCTCCATCCCTATTACTATCAACATTTTGAACTAGCAACTCCCTGGAAAATCTTCATTCTCAGCATCTTGGCTATTTCATTTGACTAGGGCATTACCAAAAACAACAGTAATCTGCTGGCAACATCTCAGCTACCTAAGCCTGTGATTAAAGGTGGAGGAAACAAGAACTGGTCAAAATATAAGAGGAATTCTTAGAAAACTGGAAAACATAGGCAGCTTTAAAAAGCTACAGCATATTCTTGGGGATCTAGAAGACTGCAAATTCCTAGAAAGGAAAACACCTCATTCAAATACTCAGCTCCCTTCTGCTTCACCATGAAGCCCTGCATAAGCAGGAAATGAAAACTAAGGTTGTCCTTTAAACCATCTGAACTTTGAAGGCATGCCTTCACACACAAATCACTTTGACAAAGGGTGGAAGATGTACAGGCAAGAGATTTAAGGAAATCTTACAACAAATCACTGGCTGACCACTAAATAATACTGACCTAGATATGCCAAGTAGGAAGCCAGATGTAGAATAAAAACTTTAAAAATTAAAAAGACCTTGGGGACAACCACTGCAGGGAATACAGAATCCACAGAATTCACTAAATGAAAAAAAAAAGTCACTAAACAAACAGTAACAAAAACAACAAATCTTTGGGTGGGGTTAAGCGATAACAGTTATCAATATTATCTTAAAAGTCCAGTTTTCAACAAAAATTATAAGACATACAAAGAAACAGGAAAGTAGGCTAATACACATTTCTTTAAAAAAAAAAAAAAGACAACAGAAAATGTGCCTACAGGGCCAGATGCTTTACTTAATTGATGTGTGTGTGTGTGTGTGTGTGTGTGTGTGTGTGTGTAGTGAGCATCTTTCATGTGTTTATTGACCATTTTCATGGCTAACGACTATTAGTCATTTGGGAAATGCAAGTAAAAACCACAATGAGATACCACTTCACAACCACGAGCATGGCTGTAATACAAAAGACACAATAAAAAGCGTCACTGAGGATGTGGAAAAATTTGAACCATTATCCATTGCTGGTGGGAACATAAAATGGTGCAGGTACTTTGATGTTAAATACTCTTAGCTACATAATCAAGAGAAAGGAAAACAAGAGTAAATACAAAATAAACCCTGTATATGAATGTTCACAGCAGTATTATTCTTAGTAACCAAAAATGGAAATGACTGAAATGTCCATCAATTAATGAAATTAATTAATGAAACAAAATGTATATATAACAAAGTGGAGTATTTATTATTTGGCAAGTAACAGTAATAAAGTACGGAAACATGCTACCATATAGATGAACCTTGAAAACATGCTAAGCGAAAGAAGCCAGTCACAAAAGACCACATTGTATGATTGCAATTTACATGAAATCTTCAGAATAGACAAATCTATAGAGTCAGAAAGCAGATTAGTGATTACATACAGTTGGAAGTGTGTGGGCTGGAAACAGACATGACTACTAATGTGTATGGAGTTACTTCTCAAGTGATAAAAATGTTCTAAGATTAGATTGTGGTGATGGCTGAACAATTCTTTGAATATACTCAAAACCACTTAACTGTACACTTTAAATGGGTGATGTGTATGATATGTGAATTATATCTCAGTAAATCTGTTTTCTTTAAAAAGTGAATCATTGGCTGAGCATGGTGGCTCACGCCTGTAATCCCAGCATTTTGAGAGGCCAAGGCAGGGGAATCACTTGAGCCCAGGAGTTGGAGGCTGGGCAACATAGTAAGACCCCATCTCCACAAATATTTAAAAATTAGCCGAGCCTGGTAGCACATGCCTGTGGTCTCAGCTACTTGGGAGGCTGGGAAGGAGGATAGCTCGGGCCTGAGAGGTCAAGGCTCAGTGCAGTGCAACTGCACTGCAGCCTGGGTGACAGAGTGAGACCATGTCTCAGAACAAGAAAAAAGTGAATCATTAATATTAATGTCCTATGTTTCACTTCACATTTTGAAACATGATACGTTCCAGTACCTAAATTTTTAACATTTTATCATTTTAATATTTGATGGGAGCAATGTTTCCAGAGATGTTTTTAATGTTTTTTTTTTAATTGAATAATTCTAGCTGGTCAACTCAGCCAATCCGCACATTTAGCTCTCCAACTACCATACAACGTGCTTGGTTTAGGTCGGAGCGCAAATTTTCTTGACCATCTGTATGTTGGTATTCCCCGTCCATCTGGAGAAAAAGTGAGTGAAAATTCATTTTGTTTACAATTAATCTATGTTTTAATATTCACTATTTAAGTATTTAAATTAAATAATTTGAATGTAATTGAATTTTAATTCAAATAAATCAAATATTTTTATTCCCTTTAAAGAATAAAGAAAAATGTATTGGTAGTGACCTAAGTTTATCTTACATAGAGCACATCATGATTTTAAGATACCGTGTAGTTTTTCCCTCTCCTCGCCCATAAACCTCACCTATCCATCTATCCTGCTTTTTCATCCTAACATTTTTCACCACCTAACATGCACATAAATATTTTACTAACATAAATACTATTATACATATGTGTATTATTTATATAATATGTATAATCATATTATTTTACTTGCTTTGTTTATTGTCAGTTTCCCCTTAACTTGAATTTTAGCTCCAAGCAGCATTTGTACATAACCCTTTGAACAGTGCCTGCTACATAAGTGTCTGATAAATATTTGTTGAATGAATGAATTCATAAAACACAAATATAATCTTTCCTTGAAAAGATGAGAAAATTTTCCAACAGATGGCACAAAAGCCTTATTTTTGGCTTAATACTGGTAAACATAGCTTCATCCATACCTAGAATTTGAATTTCTCAAAGAAGCTACATTTTTCCTTATTTATTTAGAATAGTAATTGTGTTTTTTAAATGTGCTAAATGTTAAATGTTCTTAAATTCTTCTTCCAGTCTATACGAAAACAAGAGTGGACTGCAATCATTCCAAATTCCCAGCTAATTGTCATTCCATACCCTCACAATGTCCCTCGAAGGTAATGTCCTTACTTGAACTGATTTGGTAAAGACACTGCTAACTCTGAATTATAGATACAGTGATGTCTTTTAAACTCTCTCATATTCCTGCTGTGTTCCCATGAGTGCCCATCCTTAATTTGCTTATGGCAAACTTTAAATGACTAAACATACTTACATAAACGGTCCCAGACATTTTTCATGAAGAACAAATTCAATCCTATGAGAAAAACAGCAGGTTAACTAATTAGGGATTTATACATATTCTGCTTAAATAAACTGCTCTTCCATTTACTAGTTATAAATTCAAAATTTCAGGATACTAAATCTTTGTATAAAGCACTGATCTTTTAAATAAATTACTTGAGAAGTACTATATATCCCACAGTGGTTGGGCACAAATTTTGGAGTTAAATAGATGTAGGCTAAAAACTCAGCTCCATTGCTGGCTGACTGCAAGACTAGGAGCCAGTCCTTGTCCTCTCCAAGACTCAATTTCTGCATCTGAGGGTGAAATACACTTAACACAGTGCCGAGGATATGGTAAACGAACAGTAGGTATTTTTATCCTTATTAACAGAATACATTCATTTCATAATACAGCATTTAATTCTAAATCCTTAAATAATCTTTGTTCATTTTTATTTAAATTTCTAGATTGATTCTATTCTTTTTAAATTAGGCGATAAAAGTATTCACTAACATTTAAATTTCATAGGGAAAAATATGCTAGACAAATATCAACATGAGAAAATAACCAAAGAGAAATGGTGAATTTATCTATGAATATGTAACCAGTGGGGTCCCCTGCTTGTTACATTCCCTCTGAAAATACCAGCTTCATCATTCTTTATTAAACATCTCGATCGAATGTGTTGGGTGCCGAAACCAGCTTATGCCACCTCATGAGCTGACTCTGTGCATCTCTATTCAGTGAAGTCACACTGAAATCAGTTATGGTGGGAGAATCTACTCCATGAAAATTGGCAAGTACCATAAACAGGGCTTCCCCAACCCCTCTCTACCTCAGAGCCAGTTTACCAGCATACCAGCAGATGCACTTTATGGTAGATTAATGGGCTTTAGAACCGAACTACTTAAGAAAATAAACTTTATCGCAGCCTTATGCTTGGAATAAGATGACATCATTGAAACAGTTATAGTCCTGGTTCAGATTTTTTTAATGAGCCTATATTGTATGTGTTAGTTTTCTATAGATGAAATTTACAGTAAAACTAGAAAATCTGGACCATGAGTAGGAAACTATATAAAGTAGGGTACTTCTATACAGCTCAGTAGCATGACTTTTTTTCACTGCCACGGACATAGAACAGTCTCTTAAGATGGAGTGGTAAGCAAAACAACAAACAAAAGAAGCAACAGCAAAATGTAGACGAGTATGTGTAATGAGCAGCCATTGTGATTAAAAAAGAAGCTATCTACACATACATGTTCATACATGTATAAAATATCTCCGAAAGGATATGCAGGAAACTGGTAAGAGTGACTGCCTCTGAGTAGAAAACTGAGGATTGACTTTTGTCTTTTTTTTTTTACCAAAACACTTATATTCCTGATTTGTTAAAAATCTATTTTAAAAGTATAACTAACAAAAACATCTCATAAAAGAACTGTTTTCTTAAGTATGAGTACAACACTAAGAGTAGCTTTCAACTAATTAACAGTATTTGGTTTTTTAAGGTTTACTTACTCTTCTGAATTTCCAGAAAATTATATCATAGCTTTTTTCCATAATCTCAACATTTTTCATGTTTCTCTTACTCTTTCCAAAGAAATGTTCTTTTCAAATTTATGTTCATAATAAAAACCTAATTGATTTTAGTTTTTGAGGTCTATTTTGAGGTTTATTGACTAGAGGCTAACTTATGGATCAATAAATTTTAATTATCCCAGAATAAGTCAATAGCTACTTGCTATTTACCAGAACAGTCTTACCTTTATTAAACTTTTAAAATAAAAATATAGCCATTACCTATTTCTAGGGAGAACAAAAAGTTATGTGTATATAACAACCTGCAGAGTTGGTGATACAGTCTTTAGTTTTAGGCTTTCAGGGTGTGCAAATACTATATTACACAGACTGCTTTAGAAGGAAAGAGCTAGTTCTGTTTACTGAAGACCTCTAGTCTATATATTGCCATTAACAGTGAGGGACTAAAGATGATTTTGTAAGTGATCTGAACCTAAAAGTCATTGTAGTAATCGCTCCAACATGATACAAAAATTATAGAAGTTCTGCACAAGCCATCAACATTCAAAATATTTATGTTTTAGTTGGTCATATTACATATGTGACACAGGTCAAAAATGAGATGATACAGAAGGCTTCTAGGATCATGTGACTCCCTTGCTTTACAGTTCAGGATTTCAAATTAAGTGGGTAAATCAAGATGTAAAAAAAATGTCCATGATTATCCAAAGTACCCTTGGATATGTTTACTAAGAATAATTCTCACAGGATCAAACTTGGAAGATGAAAAACATTGAAATATTTCATCAAAAATTCTATTTCAGTTGTCTAGGTGAAATATAAACCACAGCATCATCAATATTCTCAGCACTATCTGATTTATAATTGCTTTTGTTTTATTTATAATGAATGGACAGATGAATGAATGGTTTAATGAATACATTGTTTCATTAATTAAATAAGCTGTTTTGTTTTGGGGTCTCAATATAACTTTGTTATTTTTAAGTAAAATTTGTAATTTTAATTTGTTCTGTTTTTATCTACAGTTGGAGTGCCAAACTATATCTTACACCAAGTAACATTGTTCTGCTTACTGCCATAGCTCTCATCGGTGTCTGTGTTTTCATCTTGGCAATAATTGGCATTTTACATTGGCAGGAAAAGGTTTGTTCATTTAAATGAAACATTAACTTTGGTTAATTTATTCTAGTAATACATACATTGCTCTTTAAAAACACTATGTTTATTTTAAACTTTTTTCATATGACTAGAATTTCATCATTTTTCAAGTTCTGTCCAAAGCATCATTTTATTGATGATTATTTTATCCCTGGAAGTTACTAATGTCTCCTATCAATTCATACAAATCACAGGAGATGTCTACTTTAAAAGTTTGATGCTGTACAATAGTAACAAAGTGATCATTCAGAAATCAAAAGGCATTTAGAAACAATTTCATAATGACCTGAAAAATAATAATGATTTTTAAAAATGAACTTGTGTTCAGTATCTACTGATAAAGTCATGGACATTCTTTGGCTAGGATTAACAGCTATCTCTTTGAAAAGAATTAGAGTAAAAAGAGGTTAAATTATTTTCTCAGGGTTTAGGTGGAAGGTAACAACTAAAGCAATAAACAGCCAGGCACGGTGGCTTATGCCTGTAATCCCAGCACTTTGGGAGGCCAAGGTGGACAGATTGCTACAGCTCAGGAGTTCGAGACCATCCTGGGCAACATGGTGAAACCCCATCTCTACAAAATATAAAAAAATTAGCCAGGCACCATGATGCAAGCTGTAATCCCAGCTACTCAAGAGGCTGAGGTGGAGAATCACCTGAGCCCAGAAAGTTGAGGCTGCAGTGAGCTGCGATTGCACCACTTCACTCCAGCCTGGGCAAAAGGAGTGAGACCCTGTCTCAAAAAAGAAAAAAGCCATAAACATCTTTTTCATCTATTAAGTATTCTTTGCATTAAACTGATTTCTGTTCTTTAGTATAATACTCTAAATAATAATTGAAAACAAAACTCCCAAATATGTAAAAGATTTTTATGCAATGTTTATGTGAAGAAAAAAGAGGCTATCACTGTAAATTTATTAGCAGTTTAGATATATGTGAAAAAGCTAGTTTCTATTTGTATATGGGTTCCAATCAGTGCCCTCAAAATAGGGCTTCTTTGTGGCCCCAAAGAAAGGTGTTTTTCTTTTTTTGCACCTACACTCTGGATTGTCATGCCATTGTAATCATTTTTTGCTAACTAAAATTACCATCTTTGTTCTTTTAACGTATGAAAAAGAGAACATACTAGTTGTTCCATAAATGTTCTCTTTTTCATACTTTCGTCGCTTTTAAAAAAATCACTCCTTTACATATCAAAAACAGTAACATGCAGTTACATATTCAATTAACCTTAAGATTGCAACTTAAGAGTAAGATCAAGGACAACCATACATACTTTGTCCAGGAGTATCACAATATCATCTGAAAGATTCCATAGTTCTTGACCTATGAAGCAAAGGAAATTAATTTCATTAATTCCTCAGTAGATCTGATTACAGCATAAACATTGTATGCTTATAACAATAATTATGCAGTAGCCAAAAATTAAAGTTTTAAGTACAAGTATATATTTGACCATGTATGTACTGTGTCTCCTGTGGCACTGTGGTATTTCAAAGAGGTAGAACCTCTCTAACCACTTTTTTACTTAAGCAGGCTGGCTCCTTCTACCATTTTCTCACTGCAAGCTTTCCCCAGTGTCTGTCCCTGCCCCTCTTCTTTCAACACTTTACCTGCCAATTTCATCAAAAATCATGGCTTCAGATATCCCCAGCTCTCATCTCTAAAGGTCCTTCCCCATTTCCAACTATCACCATGATAGCTCAACCTGGATGACTTACAACACCTCAAAACCAGCATTCTAAAGCTTCATCTGTCTTACTTGCCTACAAGATTTCATCAATTGCCTATGGACTCTGCCTCTGTGAGAAGTTCTACAGCTGACTCCACTTCTACATTCCTACTGCACTGCTTAACCCAGCCCCTTCTTACGTCCTACTTGGTCTCTTTCTTTCCATTCTCTCCCCTTTCCATTCCATTTAGCACACTCATCATTCAGTTTAGCCTTCATCATGTCACTCCCCTGCTCAAAAAGCTCTGGTGAATATCCATTGCCTTTTATGTATAAAATCCTTGGCCTGGCCTGCGTATGACTTCCATGTGACTCCACAGTCTTATTTTTTACCAGCTCCTTTCACATATTCGTGCTCCTTCCAGCCTTCTCATGATTGCTCATGTTGTAACCCCAGCGTGGAATGAATACCACTCTCCCCATTTCCATGCTTTCAAATACTTTCCATGTCTTTTCAAAGCTTTCCCTTTCCTCACCCAGATCTAGAAGTAGTCTCTTAGACTTGGTAACATTTTTCACTTTTTATCTTGAATTACAGTTATACAATATGTTTTGTGTTTGTCTTTTTGGAGAACAAGATACAAAACTGAGGTTTTTTTAATATTAAAATATCAAACACAGTATTGGTATTGGGAGTATTGGAAGCAAAGGGCCAATGAATATCTGCAAATTAACAATTTAATGAAAACATAATTAGTACATTAGTACTTTAATATAATTAGATTTTAATATAATTAGTACTTTAATATAATTAGTTTAGATTTGGTTTTGTTTGTGGTTTGTTTTTTTTTTTTTTTTTTTTTGAGACAGAGTCTCAATCTGTCACCCAGGCTGGAGTGCAGTGGTGCAATCTTGGCTCACAGCAACTTCTGCCTCCCAGGTTCAAACGATTCGCCTGCCTTAGCCTCCCAAGAAGCTGGGATTACAGGTGCCCACTACCACACCCAGCTAATTTTTGTATTTTTTTGGTAGAGACAGGGTTTCACCATGTTGGCCAGGCTGATCTCGAATTCCTCACCTCAAGTGATCCGCCCTCCTTGGCCTCCCAAAATGCTGGGATTACAGGCATGAGCCACCACCACACCCAGCCATTAGATTTATTAACATCAGTGTTAAGAATGAGAGAAAAATGCAATCATTGATTTATCCTTATAGAATCTAATGCTTATTCCTATTTTCAAGTAGATAGTAAGTGATAAGAAGCTAAGTGTTTAAGGACCCTAAGTATTTAATGTGCCCTAAGTATTCAAGTATTTCTTGTTTTTTATTCAATTAGTCATTAATTATAAAACAGCTACTATAAACTACAAAAATACTAGAATTAGGAAATCATATCTATTATCTACTAATTGCTGGAGACTTTTAAAAATGAATCAGTGTATTTCAGAAATGAATCTTTTTGTAACATTTCTCTACCATTTATAAACGAGTCTGAAATTCTTTTTCAGAAAGCAGATGATAGAGAAAAACGACAAGAAGCCCACCGGTTTCATTTTGATGCTATGTGACTTGCCTTTAATGTTACATAATGGAATGGCTGTTCACTTGATTAGTTGAAACACAAATTCCGGCTTAAAAAGTAGGGGAGATTAAATATTATTTATAAATGATGTATCCCATGGTAATTATTGGAAAGTATTCAAATAAATATGGTTTGAATATGTCACAAGGTCCTTTTTTTTTTTTAAAGCACTTTGTATATAAAAAGTTTGGGTTCTTTATTCCGTAGTGCTGTACATTTCTGTTCCTTTGTGGAATGTGTTGCATGTACTCCCGTGTTTGTGTATTTATAATCTTATTAGTGTCATGATGATGGAAAAAGATGTGTGTAAATAAAAATAATTAAATGAGCAGGAATTTTTGTGTCCACTTGACTTGGTCTTGCTTCTTATTCTAATGATGCAAATTATACTTTTGTGAATATATCACAGAGTCATTATGCATTCAGCTTCATCACAGCAGGTCAGGGGTCTCTCACTGATGACATACAATATAGTGATCGGGCTCTGACTTGGTAGCACAGTAAGACAGACTTGCCTTAAACTCCTAATTCCACCACTTAACAAAGTCATTGTTTGAACTTGACTCTTGTTTAACCTGTGTAGCCTCAGTTTTCTTGTTTATTCAGTGGGGCTAATGATACTTGCTTGAGTTATTGTAAACATTAAATGGGATGATGTATGTGAAGTGCTTAGCTTGGTGCCTAGCACAGAGTAAGTGCTCAATATGTGGTAGTTGTCATTATTACTATTTTAGATGATCTTATTAGACTTATACATCTAATTATAGAAATATGTAGATTTGATAGAATTTTATTTTCAGGCATGAAGAAATATTCTTTGGAAAAGCTAAATTTTTGGCGACTGACATATAAAGATTTACTTGCTCATATTAACTAAAAATTATAGTACTCTCCAAGAATTAATGTGTCCTAAAAATTTTCCTCTGAAAACTGATCCTTATCATGTGATAATGAAGAACATTTGATTTCTTGAAAGGAAACTGCTGTAGGCAGCATCTGGGAATGCAAATCTTCAATCACATTTCTATTCTCAAAGGCTTGGAGAAGTCTATAATTTACATTCAGACTTCAATGCAAATTTTATATTGTGAATTTCACATTTCCAAAAAGTTACTTTAAAAAGACTTTAAGACTGAGAGAAAAAGTTTATCAATGCTAATAATTTTCTAATATGCAAATGGACATGTGATGCCTATAAAACACAAAAAGTTTCTCTGAAAACAATTTTGTTCTTATTTTTTTCTTCAGTTTACTGAGAATGGCATGTGTTTTTACTTTGTATCTAAGCATGTTAACATGTCTTCTTAATAAATATTCCTTATTGAAACAAAGTATTTCAGTGAGTTTTTAAATAATTATTTCAGAGCATGAAGAGACCTTAGAGCTTTCGAAAGCATTTATCTGGACTGGGAGACGGGTAAGGTGACTTGCCCACTGCCTCTCTGTGGGTCAGGGGCAAGATAGGACTCTCCTGACTGTAATACTCAGTTAAATTCACTAGTTATCAACCCACAGCACTCTCCTAGGCACTATGTGACACTTTCCCAAAGACAATTGGGCTCATTATTGATATAGCCTGAGTCTTAAAACTCATGTGGAGTCAGGGTTTACAAGACAAATAAAATGTTAATGACAATTAAAACTACAATCAGTGCCATTAATACTGTTTCTGTATTTCCAAATGCAACTTCAATATCATTTATTAAGGGACAGCAGATTAAAAAAAAGTGTCACAACATTGAGAATCACTAACAAGACCTTTATTTTAATTTTGAATATTGCAGTGGAAAGATAACAAGGCTTTGAAGTCAGACCAATCTGGATTCAGGGCCCAACTCCCCGATTTCATGACTCTGAATCAGTCACTTCTTTGAACTTTGGTTTCTTCATCTGTAAAACAAAGGTAGTGAGTGATACCTACCTTCAAGGACTGCTCTGAGTCTGAAATGGCAGTTTGTACATAGAAAATGCTTGATAAGTGCTGTTTTTCTTCCTTCCCATTTCCCATTACAGTGACAAATGAACATTTTCTGAGATTTCTTTCCCACTGACTATATGTTAGTGTTATCCATCTTTGGGGAGCTAGGAAGAGTAATTAAGAATTAATAATCATTTTGAAGATACTGTAAATACGTTAATACACCATTTATTTGAACTAGCCCTTTACATTTCCCCATCCTTGCAAGTAGCTAGAATACCTCATAAAAAGAAACAAAAACTTAAATCGTGTCCAGCAGACCTCGATGGTATACCTGGGATTGATTAGGATATTTAAGGGCTTACTCCTCAGGATAAACGTGAATTAAAACCAGCCCATGTGATTACCTGCACCTGACCAGTTATTTTAAAAGGCTAATAGATAGTAGATTAGGGAGTGCTTTTGATCCACAACTGTACAAGGGAAAGGAAGGAAACAAGATTAGGCAGAAAAATCAAATTGTGATGCATTCTCAATGGAATGCCTCATAACAACCCTACATCGAGTTCTGAGATAGGATGACCTCTCCTATCTCCTAACCTGTCCCAAGTTAGAATATGAAGGCTGGGCCTTTACATTCCCACATTCATCAGTTACAGGGCACAGGATGCCCCAAAGGCCTCTAACAAAACGAAAACAGGTACAAATAACCAGTATCAAAAATGAAAAGGGTATAACTACAGATAATCTATTTATTAAAAGTAGGAAGACTTGGAGAATAACTTTATACCAATGTATCTGAAAGTTTATACAAAATGGAACAATTCCTAGGAAAATATCACTAAAACATAAAAAGAAACAAAACCCTAAATATTCATTCTGGTGGATGCTGTGGTGTAGTGTCCAGATCCAGCATCAAGAATAAAGGACTTACTATCCTAATTTCTGGGCGTGTCATCACGGTTCATCTGCCAGCCTCATCTGGAGAGCAGACTCACCCAAGATCAGTCCCCTCTTCTTAACATAAAAATCTTAAGTGTTCATAAACTAAAAAGTAAAAGCCGACAGACCTGTAAGGAGAAACAGACAAACTCACGATTTAAGTGGGAGACATCCACACTTTTCTACGGTAACTGAAGGAAAAAGTAGGCAGGAAATCAGAAAGCTTAGGGCTGACCTGAAAAGCACTCAGTCAATCTAACCTAGTGGATATTTATATAACACTCTCACCAACAGCAGCAAAATACTCTTTTTCAGTGCACATGGAACACTTACCAAGACAGACCATATTCTGGGCCATAAAACAAGTCCTACCAAATCTAAAAGAATAGAAATCATACAAAGTAGATTATCAGACTATAATAGAATGGAACTAGGGAGATCCATGGAAAATACCTAGATATTTTAAATAACCATAGGGTCAAACAGGAAGCCTCAAAGGAAATTTTAAAATATTTTGAGCCAAATGAAAAATACAACATAACAAAATTTGTAGGAGGCAGTGCTGGGGGGTGGTATTTATAACATTAGATGCACATATTAAAGAAGAAACGTGATGAAAGAAACCAAGGAAGACTTCAATAGAAAGTCAGTATGTTCATGGATTAGGAGATGCCAATACTCCCCAAAGTGATCTGTACATTTCACGCCATCCCTATCAAAATCCCAGCAGTATCTTTTTGTGGACATGGACAAGATTTTGTGCAACTTATATGAAAGAGAAAATAGACTAGTTTAAAACAATGTTGAAAAAGAAGACAAAGTTGAAGAAATCAAACTATGTGACTTTAAAACTTGTTATAAAGCTACAGTAATAAAGACAGTGTGGTATTGGCAAAGAGAGACACATAGACCAATGGAATAAAATAGAGCAGGAATAAACTCACACAAATACAGACATTTGATGTTTGACAAAGATGTAGAAGTTACTAAGTGGAAGTCAGTCTTTTCAACAAACAGTGTCAGAAAAATTGATCATCGGTATTTGCCATAAATACAAAGGGCAAAGGAGAAAAAAAGAACCTTGATCTAAACCTCACACCTTACACAAAAATTAACTCAAAGTGGGTCATAAATTTAAATATAAAATGTAAAACTATAAAACTTTAAAAGAACACATAGAATATCTTCATAGGCTAGGGTTAAGCAGAGTTCTTAGAAATGACACCAAAGTTATGATTCTTTTTAAAAACTAATGTGACTTCATCTAAATTAAAAATGTTTGCTTAGACAAAGACACTTCTGAGAGAATGGACAAGCTATATGTGCAAAGAAACAAAAATTTTTTTTGAGATGGAGTCATGCTCTGTCACCCAGGCTGGAGTACAATGGTGTGATCTCGGCTCACTGCAGCCTCCGCCTCCCAGGTTCAAGCAATTCTCCTGCCTCAGCCTCCCAAGTAGCTGGGACTACAGGTGTGTGACACCATGCCTGGCTAATTTTTGTATTTTTAGTAGAGACAGGGTTTCACCATGTTGGTCAGGCTGGTCTCAAACTGCTAACCTCAAGTGGTCCACCTGCTTCAGCCTCCCAAAGTGCTGGGATTATAGCCATAAGGCACCGTGCCCGGCCAAGAAAATATTTTCAAATCACATATCCAACAACAGACTTGTATCTGAATCTATAAAGAACTCTCAAAACTCAACAATACAAAAACTCGGACAAGATGACACCTAAGGAAGCTCCTGCCTCTCCCAAAGCTGAAACCAAAGCAAAAGCTTTGAAGGCCAAGAAGGCAGTGCTGGAAAGCATCCACAGCCACACACAAAAAGGGGTGTCTGCACTTCACCCACCTTCCAGCACCTCAAAACACTACAGCTCTAGAGACAACCCAGATATCCTCAGAAGAGTGCCTCCAGGAGAAACAAGCTTGACCACTCTGCCTGATTCCCCCTGACCATTGAGTGTGCCATGAAGAAGACAGAAGATAACGACACACTTGAGGTCATTGTGGATGGCAAAGCCAACAAGCAGCAGAGCGAACAGGAAGCAGTGGAGCAGATCTGTGACACTGATGTGGCCTGATCAATCAGGCCCAGTGGAGAGAAGGCGTGTGTTTGACTGGCTCCTGTTTATGATGCTTTGGATGTTGCCAACAAAATTGGAATCATCTAAACTGAGTCCAGCTGGCTAATTCTAAATAGACATCTTTTCACCAGTAAAACTAAAAAACAATTTGAGTGGGCAATAATTTGAGGATACTTCAATAAAGAGGATATATGGGTAGCAAATAAGCATATGAAAAGATGTTCAACAGGATAAGCCATTAGGGAAATGAATACTAAACTATGAAGAGATACCACTACATATCTATCATGAATAAAGAATGCTTTCATGGATAAAACAAAGAATGCTGACAATTCAAAGTGCTAATGTGGATGTGGTACACATCTCTGGTAAATTATAAAACTTTTCTGAGAAACGCTAAGGAAATTTTCAATAAATGCACATCTGTACCATGTTAATGGACAGGAAGACTCAAAATGGTAAAGATGTCGAAGCTCTCCCAACTCCACTCATCCCAATGGGGTGTTGTGTTGCTGAGCTTGTTAAGAGGTTTCTAAAATGTATACGGAAATATAAAAGAACAAGAACAGTCAAGATAATCTTGAAAAAGAACAAGGACCTGCTCTACCAGGTAACAAAATAATAAAGTTAGGGTGATTAGGCCAGGCATGGTGGCTCACACCTGTAATCCCAGCACTTTGAGAGGCCGAGATGGTTGGATCACCTGAGGTCAGCAGTTTGAGATCAGACTGGCCAACATGGTGAAACCCTGTCTTCACTAATAATACAAAAATTAGCCTGGCGTCATGGCACACGCCTGTAATCCCAGCTACTCGGGAGTCTTGAGGCAGAAGAATTGCTTGAACCTAGGAGGCAGACATTGCAGTGAGCCAAATTATGCCATTGCCCTCCAGCCTGGACAACAAGAGCGAAACTCTGTCTCTGAAAAAAAAAAAAAGGGTTAAGGTGATTAACAGAGTGTGGTATTGGTGAAGAGATAGACCAATGGAACATATTAGAGAGTGCAGAGAAAGACTCATATACATGGACGTTTGATTCAGGAGGGAGGTAACACCACAGAGCAGAGGAATATGAACAGCCTTTTAACAATAAATAAGCTGAGACAATTCATTAACTAAAAGATAATGGCACTCCCATTGCACAGAAAAATCAATTCCAGGTGGATTGAAGGTGAAATACGAGTACTTAATTTAATAACTTCATGATACTAGAGTGAGGGTGGGTTTCCTATTCATTAAAAAAACTATAAAGGAAATTTCTGATATATTGAAGTATATTAAAATTAGTAACTCTATCCACAAGAACTATAAGAAGTTTGAAAGTGTGACGAGACAAGTCACCAAATGAAGATATTTTCAACAAATAAAAATGACTGTATTCAAAATCTAGAAATCCTACAAAATTATTTAGAAAGAAAGACAGTTCAATAAAAAATTGAGCAAAAGGATTGACAAAAAGCATTAACTGCTGACAATAGCCAAATGTTGGTATGGATATGGCACAACAAAAGTCTGATACACTCTTAGCAGGACAAAGTTTAAAAAAAAAAAAAGTAAAAGCAGTGGTTGGTTTTATTTAGAGTAGAAGATATGCATACTCTAAATCTACATATCACTTCTACTCTTAAGAAATTCTCACACACGTGCACCAGGCTATAGGTATAAAAATATTCATAGCAACTATGTTCGGAATGGCCAAAATCTAGAAAATGCCTAAATATCCATCTACATGGATTTTTATACAATGAAATACTATACAGCCATGACATTTCATGAACTATACTTGCACACACCACATGGATTAATCTCACAAAGTTAAGCCAAAAAGCAAAACACAAAAGCATACACACATCATGATACACGCATACATATAAAGTTCCAAAACAAGAAAAATTAAACTATATTGTTTAAGGATATATTTATTTTCAAAACTACAAAGAAAAGGTAGGAAACAACAAAAGTCAGAACAGTGATAAACTCTAGGGAACTGGGGAGAAGATTATGACCAAGCAGAGGCACATGGAGGACTTTAGTACATAAGCGATGTTTCATTTCTTGATTTGGGTAGTATTTTCATGGCCCTTCACTTTATTAAATTGTACATACATATTTGTTTAAGGTGCTTTTCTAAATATGGATTATATTTCACAATTTTTTAAAAAAATCGTATAAAACTTTCCCAAAGATCCCTTTGTAGATCATATATCCAGAAACAGAAGTTTCATTACAAGTCTTAGATTACATATTTTATAGCACAAAATAGTTTGAGATTTGTTAATGGTCCAATAATTTTGATATACCTTTCTCAAAAATATAACAAATAACAGTGACATATAGTTGAATAGATGCATTCCAGTCATGTTTGTTTTAAATAGCGTAAGCATATAAGCCAGCACAGATATTCATAGTTCATTAAGCCCTTAAGTTGAATTTATAAGAAATTTTTATTATTTAACAAACATTACCAAATAACTGTATCAAGAATTTACACTTTATGGTTTCATATTGTGCCAATAAAATAGCATTTGTTTCAGCTTTTAGTAAATACGGTTTTTTTTAGAGGGGGGTGTTGTTTTTTAATAAAAGAACACCAGGTTAGAAAGTAAACAGATTTAAGAAAACACATCTCTTTTCAACATGGGATTCTGGTTTTAAAGAAAAAGATACCATATATGTTAGTAACTTTATTCTTAGAAATATACAGTCATATGTCACTTAACAACAGACATACATTCTAAGAAATGCATCATTGTGCAAACTTCATGGAGTGTCCTTACACACATCTAGATGGTGTAGCCTATTACACACCTAGGCTCTACAGTTTAGCGTATTATTCCTATGCTACAAACCTGTACAGCATGTGACTGTACTGAATAGTGTAGGCAATTACAACACAATGGTAAGTATTTGTACATTTAATTATATCTAAACATAGAAAAGGTACAGTAAAAATATGGTATTATAATCTTATGGGACCACAGTTGTGTATGTGGTCCATCATTCACCAAAAGGTCGTTATGCAGCACATGACTAAAATTAGGGCATTTCTTAGTTTTTCACAATCAAATGAAAGCTGGTTTCTGCTGAGGCCTCTCTCCTAATGACCAGAAATTTTCTTAACAATTTGAAATTTTCCTGGTAAAGAAGAAATATTTTAGTATTAGTAGAAAGCAATGTTTCTTAAAAGCATTCTTTGTTTAAAATTATGCTAACCAGAAATTTAGAAGTTTAGGGGACAGTGTTACTGAAAGAACTCTTTGACTCCCTGACAGCTCTTCTTCAATATCAATAACACAGGAATGATTGCGGTTCATGCATTTTATAGGCTGAATTGCATTTCCCACAAATTCACATGTCAAAGCCCTACCCCTGTATATAACTTTTTGGAGACAGGGCCTTTAAGGAAATAATTAAGGTTAAATGAGGTCAGAAGGGTTGGACCCTAATCCAATAGGACTGGTGTCCTTATGAGAAGAGGAAGAGACCAGGGGTGCACACAGAAAGAGTAAAAGGCCACTGAAGACACAGTGAGAAGGTGACAGTCCGCAAGCCAGGAGAGAGGCCTCAGCAGAAACCAGCCTTCAGAACTTGAGACAATACATTTCTACACTGTAAGTCACCCAGTCTATAGCTACACTGTAATTCTGCCACGGCAGCCTGAGCAGACTAATAGAATGCACTTTTTAAAAACTACAATTTTCCCCCCCTAAAAAACCTACAGTTGTGTAATAAACACTGAAATCTTCATATACTGAGAACTCACCTGATTGTTTTTCACTAAACGTCACCATTGCTGTAGCCATATCTGCACCCTGTAAAGTTCAAGATCCATATTATATACAAATAGTTTCTGCCATTGAAGTTTGGTTCTTTTAAAATTCCTCTACTTTCCTTAGTTATAATCTCTGCATTAGCTGGTTCAGCCTGCCACAACAAAATACCATAGACTAGGTAGCTGAAACAACAGACATACTTCCTCAAAGTTCTGGAGGCTGAAGTCCCAGATCAAGGCAGGAGCCAATTCAGTTTCTGATGAGGACGCTCTTCCTGGCTTGCAGATGACTGCCTTCTTGCTGTGTCCTCACATGGCCTTTCCTGGTGCCTGTGCATGAAGAGACAGCAGGCTCTCTGATGTCTCTTCCCAACAGGACACTATTTCTTTCAGATAAGGGACCCACCCATACGGCCTCATTTAACCTTAATTACTTCCCTGAAGGCCCTCCTCTTCAAATACAGCCTCACTGCGGGTTAGGGCTTCAACATATGAACTAGGAGGGGACACAGACAGTAACAATCTCCAAACGCAACAACCTGCTTTCCTCGGCTATAATGTAATAAAATGTTAACACTCCCAAACAACAGCAAAACAGAGACACAACAAAAATCTGTTAAGTGTATAAACAATGGCAATACGATGCTTTCTTTTAAAAAATGGTTCATTCAGCCGGGTGTGGTGGCTCACACCTGTAATCCCAGCACTTTGGGAGGCCCAGGCAGGCAGATCACCTGAGGTTGGGAGTTCGAGACCAGCCTGACCAACATGGTGAATCCCCATTTCTACTAAAAATACAAAGAAAAATATTAGCCAGGTGTAGTGGCAGGCACCTGTAATCCCAGCTACTTGAGAGGCTGAGGCAGGAGAATCGCTTGAACCCGGGAGGCGGAGGTTGCAGTGAGCAGAGATGGAGCCATTGCACTCCAGCCTTGGTGACAGAGTGAGACTCCATCTCAAAAAAAAAAAAAAAAAAGGATTCATTCTAGTAACAAGTAAATGCCATGCAATACCATTCAAGTACTACATGAGACTTAGAGAAAACCCAATTCAAGCTATAGGAATGACTGTGAGGAGTTGGAGGACCTGAATGGATGCCTGGGAGACCAGCAGGACACAAGGAAAGCTGAGTCCTCAGTCACCCGGAAACTGCCAGGTAATCTGGGAACAGACTGGGTGCCACTGGGTGATCTTCCAGGAAAATAATAATTCAAATACAGAACGCCCAAGTGAGAGATATGAAAACTGCTTCCCTTTTGATTTGGCTAACATATGGCCACACAGTAGTCTCAGCTCTGATCTGTGCTTTCCTACATTCCTCGAAAAATCGACTGCAGACGATTCCACCAGCATATCTAAAAGGTAGGTGTCTTAAAAGGGAGCCACAAAATGAACATTCCCAGTTGGAATCTACTTCCAAGCCAACATTCTAAAGGAAAAGACTTTTTAGGTTTAATCAAAATAATAGAAGTAAGAGCTTCTAAAGTAAACGTAAATGTAGAAGTATTATAGATCTACTTTTGGTATTCTTGTGGTTGCTCTAATCTCTCCCCTTTTATTACAACCTCAACTGCCAAAAGAATCTTCCCAGAACTCCATTACTCCACTATTAAAAGTAATCATTCACCTAACTAGCATTTGAGCGCCTATCTCCATAATCAAAGCCCACCATGTCCAACCTCATCTTTAATACAAAACACAACACTCACCCCACGTTCTAGGCTCACCCTGCTCCCTGCCTGCTGAGCTCTTCTTCTGCCTCCTCTCCTCTCGCCACTCTAAGCATTTCCATGGTTTGTGTGTCACCTCCTTCAGGAAGCCTTCTCTGATGACATCACACACAGATTTTTCCTTCAGTCAACAACTTCACATTAAGAACCTACTATGTTCTTAATTTAAGAGCCCCTTATTTGAGAGCCCCTTCCTCTCAAATTTTTTCGGTTCACTGTTGTCTGTGACTTATACTTAATATGGTCTTCTTACTGTCCTGTTCTACTAATATGCTACCTTATTATTATTATTATTTGAAATGGAGTCTCGCTGTTACCCAGGCTGGAGTGCAGTGGTGTGATCTCAACTCACTGCAACCTCCGCCTCCTGGGTTCAAGTGATTCTCCTGCCTCAGCCTCTCTAGTAGCTGGGACTACAGGCACATGCCACCACACCCAGCTAATTTTTGTATTTTTAGTAAAGACGGGGTTTCGCCATGTTGGCCAGTCTGGTCTCGAACCCCTGACCTCAGGTGACCCACCTGCCTCGGTCTCCCAAAGTGCTGGGATTACACGCATGAGCCACCTTTTTATATCCACGGGAAAAAGTTCTTAAATGTTTAATTTCCTAATTGATTCTTGCATGCGATCTTAACTGTAGTAGGTGGTTACCTTTAGGAACCCAAACTTACCCATCTTTTATACCCCCATCCATAGCACACGGCAAAGGGAGAAACACCTGGGTATTAATTGGTGTTAAATATGTTTTTCCTTTGTAAATCTCGTGATTTATGCTTCTGTGTCTTTCTTGGAGGAATACAAAGTAAGAGAAAAGAGCTTAATACTTGAAAAATGTTTCGGCTGCCTGACATTGTCTTTCGCTACAATTGGTTAAACAAACATTTACAGAGTTCCTACTACACACAGAGACAGGCATAAACAGTCTATTATGGTAAGGCCTTGATCACGGTTGTATCTCCAGCACCAATCATTGTCTTTTGCACATAATTAACACCCAATACATATGTGTAGAGTGAAAAAAAAGAATGCAGTCTCCCCGCCTGCAAGCAGCTGATATCTTAATGGTGTGGGGGTGAAGGAAATATAAAGGATGAACAAATAAATAAGGAATGTCATATCAGTGTAATAATCGCTATGGAGAAAATAAAGCAGGATCAAGAATACCACCAAGAGCCAGGCAGTTCTTGGCAGACCTGGAGACTCCCATCAGCGGGCGAAGCCGCCCAGCGTAGTGGCTAGCTCCTAAGAGGGCAGCCCGTGGGGAGGGTGCACAGCCCCGCCGCTCATTCGCTGTGTGGCTCTGGACGAATGGTTTCACCTCTCTGGCCTCGACTTTCCCATTCCCTAAAACCTACTTCATGAGGGGAAGTCAGGAGTTGGTACTAAAGTGTCCGTCAACCTGGCGGGCGCCGGGGAAACGCCGGCAGCGCCGCGGGTCGGGAACTCACCGGCGCGAAGAGCACGGAAAGCCTCGGGCTCCCTCTGCCGAGGTCCGCGCCTCCCTGCCCCGGGTCGAGCAAAGTTTTGACCTTCAATAGAGGTCTAGGGGACCAGGAGTCGGCGCCCCTCTGTCTGCGAGGGCTGGCGGATACCGCGCAGGCCGGCGAGGGCGCGGGGCCGAGGTGGGCGGCGCTTCCCGGGCGCCTCCGTCAGGCGAGAGGCCTCGAGGGCTCGGCCAGTGGCCCCGGGCATCCTGCGCGGGCGGCTGGGCACAGGCCGGGCACTGCCCCGGCGCCCAGCCTCTCGGAGGAGGCCGCTGCGCAGCCACTGCGAGAGGCGCCCCCGCGCCCCCCGCCCCCCGGCGGACCCCGCGGCCCGCCGGCCCCCAGGCCTAACGGCAGCCGGCGGGGAGCAAAGCCGTCCCAGGGCGCGAGGCCGCGGCGGGCGCGCGAGGCGCGGGGCGGGGCAGGTCGGGCACATGCGCACAGGCAGCGCGGCCGGCACGCGGCGCTCGCGCTCCCTGCTTAAATGAGCTTGGGCGCCCCGCGCCCGCCACTTCAGTGGATCCCGCACCGGGGCCGCGGGCGGAGCTGCCAGCCAGTCCCGCGCCGCGCGCCCTCACTCCTCGGCCCTCGGGCGGTCGATGGGACGGGGCGCCGCGGAGCAGGAGGCGGCGCCCGTCGGGGGGCTCGGGCCGCGCGGGAGCCCACCGGGGGGCTCGGGCATGGCGGGCCGCAGGACCTGAGCCCTACCCCGCGGGGAGGCAGCTGCTGGCCGGCGATGGGGACAGAGCGGGGCCACCGCCGCCGCGCCGGGCCGTGAGCGCCGCGCCGCCGCCGCCGCCGCCACCTCAGCCCCTCGCGAAGCGCCGGGCAGCTCGGGAACATGGCCCTGGAGCGGCTCTGCTCGGTCCTCAAAGGTAAGGACCAGCGCTGGGGCCGCGGACGGCGCCCCCTGCGGGCCGAGGCTAGCGCGCCGCCCTGCCCGCGCCTCTGCGTCCCTTACCCGCGCCCGGGACCCGACGCGCCTCTTTGTCTGGCGGGGCTCGCGGCTACTCTGAGCGGACCGCGGGGCGCGCGCCCTGCCCGGCTCCACCGGCTCTCTGGGCGCGCCGCCTCCGACCCTTGCGAGTCCGGCCGACGTGTGGGAAGGGGGATCGGGTCGGGAAGGCGGCCAAGAGGCCCATGGGCCCAGGGGGGCCCTCCGAGCGGCGCCCTGGCGCCGCTTCGGTAGAATTCCGCGCATTCGTTTGCAAAGTTGTGAGATTCGTGTCGTGGAGCGAAGGCCGCTCTTTCTCCAGATGTGATGGCAAGAAGTAATTCCACGCGAACAATAAAAGCCGCGGCCGTGACGTCGTGCAGCCGTTTTCGAAGAGCTCCGCGGCGCCTGCACCTCGCGGCGGGGAACGGGGCCTGCCGGGCCGGCCGGGTCCCACTTGCTGCGGCCGCGGAGGCTGCGGCACCACTGCGGGCTCCGGGGGCAGCGCGCGGGCGCCGCGGACCCGGCTCGGCCAGGCCCCCGGGGAGCGCTGCTGCTCGGGCTGAGCCCGGGCGCTTCCCGGGACACGGCGCTCCCCGGAACCGCGCTCCTCGCGCTCCCCAGAGGTCTCAGAATTCCCCGCCGCTAGTGTTCGGTTCTTATTAATTTGTTGTACCAGGAATTAAAACAGTTGGCTTGCCAAGAGCACAGAGCTCTAAAACACACTCCACCCGCTTTGCATTTTCCAGGAGGCGGTAATTTAGATGAAAATTTATATACATAGATAATTAGGGATGGGATACAAAGTTGCTCCTGAAACTCGGACTGAATAAATCGTCTTTTCAATTTTCAGAGGGAAAACAGCACCACCACTCAGTAAAGGACTTCCCTTTTCCCCCCTGCTGATTTAAATTGAAAGTTGACATGTTTGTAATGTTTTTTTTTGACATGTTCTTTTTTAAAACTATAGAGAGTACAGCTGAGGCGTTATTGACGGTGGCATGTGTAACTCAGCACTGTATCTTAATATCTGTAGAGTGACAGATCATGGTGTTTTTCCTGCTCCCTAACAACACTTTTTTCAAATTTGTTTTATTAGAAAGTTCAGTATAATTTTGCTTTTGATTTTAATCGGACACATTGTCTACTCTCCACTTATTCCTGAATTCGTAATTGAGATTCAGTAATTTAATTCCTGAAAAAGGAATGTTTTGTTTTACTTTTTCGTGATAGATCGTATGCACGCTAGGATTTCTGATCGTGCTGCTTATCTGAATTTTCTGCCGTTGTCGGATTGCGCCCTCACTACGGTAAGGTTGTCAGCATGTTACTGACCGTGCATCCGAGAGCAGCCCCCGGATGAAATCGCGTAGATCTGTCACACCACTTTACCTGCAGAACTTGCTAAAATCGAGCTGGATAGGGTAGAGGCTGGTAGAGCCTCCTCCAATGGTGAAGAGATTTGCACCGTTTCTGCCTTCGCCTTTGCCGTGGGTGCACACTGCCCTCTGTGGCCGTCGTGGTGAAGCGTTGA